TTAAAAATTTCCCAAAAAGTACTAAACACATTTCACAGCTTTGTTTACGAATTTCCCATTTTAACCCATACTTTTATGCGCTCAAGGAAATAGTTGAATAGTTTCTTAGTTAGGGTGTTTATCCTTAGATCTGTCTACTTATGGAAAACCAACCCCTGCCTTGCTCCACTTCCTCTTCTTTTCCACTTCCCCAAAACCCCCTCGTTGTCTCCTCCGCCACTGACTTGTTGACACAGTTGTTCTACCCACTGGCTATTGACTCAAATGACTTTCACACTCAAATAGTAAAGTTTATTTATTTTCTTCTTTGTGAACACTTGACTCCAACGCTTCTCGCTCGCTCAGCTCGGGTAATTCAATATTGTAACTCGAGTTATTTATAAATTAGGAAATGCGGCTGCCAAGAACAGCTAAGCCAACAAATCGATCAACTAGTTCTCCAGTTTATGGATCATATACACTTTACATACCCCCCGCTGCAATCTCATTTCATTTCACAATTCCCCAGAGGGCGACATTTTTCACGGCTGTCAAGTGTTGTTGGCCTCGGGGGCCATTTAAAGGGTATGAGTTCTCTATGAGTTCTCGCTTTGTTTTCGGGGGTCTGTGACTTCCTCAATAAATGGTTAACAATACAATGTGAACGTTTTGTGCTAATTTCATGGGGGTCATTCTGGCTCTGTTTCTGAAGATCAGTCACGCAGTTGAAGTATGCTTTTGGAAAATAAAAACTTTGGACTTCTACTCGCACTTAGCCCACAAAAAGCATTTTCGCCTGGGGCCAACAAGCTGCCTTAAAAATCTCTCGCGTATCCGTAAAATTTGTTCGGTGATCAATTAAAGAAAGACCTATTCCAATTTGGCGAGCAGACAAGAGGCTAGCCAGAAATTGCTTTTGACAATCGAATAATTAATTTTCGCAGGCCTTTTGGCCGTCAATGTGGGCTATCAGAAACTATACAGAATAATAAAACATTTGTCGACCCATAAAGCACAGACGAAAACTGCACGAAATTCCCTGCCAACGAAATTGAGAACGAGAACAGCAATAAAAGAAACAACAGATCAGAATTTATTAGGGTCAAATGTTTAAAAATACATCTTCACAAACTAGAAACGAAATGGGCACAGAAATTATAAAATATTAATTAATGATCTGACAGGGCAGATGAAAAATAAAGGGAACAAGATAGAAATAGCATTATTTCTTTTTACACTATATTAAAATAAAATAATATACCTAATACACTATATTTTTTGATTTTTCTCCTTTCTTATAGTCAACTTCCCATTTTTTCGGTATCTCAACTCTTTCCTCCTCTACATTATCTTAATCTCCCAAAGAAAAAAGATTAGATATTGTCTGCCGAAATGATGCCTAATCTTAAATCTTAATCTTTCGACAAGTGTTTAGAAGCAGTTGACATATCTCTCCCGCTGTTATTCTATCACCTTCATTTGCATAGTCCAACGAAAACCGAAACTTTCCCAATGGTAAAACTACTCTTTTGGTTAGGTTTTCTTCGATGTTTTACGACTACGATTTTATGTTTATTAAATACAAATTCCAAAACTTATCATGGGCATATAAAATAAAAAGCCGGTTGACTTGGAGACCCATGGTGTTTTAGTTCGGGGCGTTGTATTGTCGTAAATTTGTTGTAACCCAACCCCATCCCAGGGTAAACATAATAAACGATTTTCACTTTTTTCTTCGGCTTCTCCCCCCCTTTTTTTCTTTTTCGGTCTAGGTGGGTTTTTATGTTTTCTATGCTTTGATTAGTTTTTGTTATTTTAATTAGTTTTCAGTGGCATTTTTTTCTCGTATCGTCATTTTCTTTCCCGAATTCTAAGCCCAGATTCCAGTGAAACGAGAAAGCGAGAGTTTTCCTTTGTCGCGCCGCGATTTTGTTGGTTTCGTAAATGACGGCTGTCTTCTGGTCTTTTTAGTAACTTGATTGAACGAAAGATTCGAGATTAGTAGAGGTTTTTGCCCGAGGGCGATCGATGCTTTGGGTCAAACTGATGAATTAATCTTGGTCAAAACCTTTGCTTTTTCTCCGAAAATGTTTCTTGAATCAAACTAAATTGTGTCAGCCTCGACAGCTTTCAGTGGTCAAATTAAACTGTTTTAATCAAAAATGTTTTAATTAAAATTAATAATGAAATGACGAGTCATAGCTCATAAATAAATTTGAACAACCATTTACATAAATTTAGGAATATTCTGAATTTCTAAACTTTCCTTAAAAAGCGCTGCAAAGATTTGGACATACCAATTCTTGGATGAAAATAAAATCATTTTGTGTTCACTACCAACTTAATCCCTGCAATTCGAATTCCCAATAAATTTTGTAAAACTTTAAAATGTCCCAAAACTGCAGCAAGAAGCACAAAAACCAAAGAAAACGTATACTCATAGAGGAAAAGAAACAATAACAAAGAAATGCCCGCACAGCGTTTGAAACTAAATGAAGATTTATATGGAACACAAGAAAATAAATTTATGCACTAGGTTTTTTTCGAGGGAGACCTCTAAAGAACTTCAAAGTACAGTGTATATTCGTAAATTGAATATTCAGCGGAATTTTGGATTTAAACATTTAAGAGCTGAATTTTAGAATTTATTATTTTCTATTTTATTAAAATTTCGTTTAGTTCTTGTTTGTAAATGATTTTTAATATTTTACAAATGAAAGACAAAGAATTGTGGTTATGAATCAGGCGCTCTAATATCTATACCATTATATTCTATACATCATTTTATATGTAGTCAAAAATAATGACATATTTATGTGTCACACAGTGTACATTGAAATAAATAAATTGTATTTGAATAGGAATCCTATATTCTAAATATTCTAATGTTAGGCAAAGTTTGGTGGAAACGAAAACAGTTGTAAATTGGCACTTTCGTAGCCAAAACTCTTATGAAAGTAAAATGTTGGATATAAAAGTAAAAAAAAAAAAAGGAATCATATTAATTTTCGTACTGTTTCATTTTAAATTTTTTAGACTTTCTATTAAAACTAAGCTTTCTATAAGAACCTCTGATACCAGAATCCCATAGGATTGTGTGTCGTAGTATTGGATCATTAATTTTGGTAACCAGCTAAAAAAGGTAGAATTTTTGGACCTGACATCCTAAACTATGAGAACCTCTGCAGAGGTATCATGATACCATAAACTTTATGCAGCTCTATAGTTTATGATCTTAACTTTTTCAAGAGGATATAGGTATACTTTTGAGATCCCATTACTATTCCCTCAGAAATTCTGATACCACAAACCTTTCGCTGCTCTATAGTCTATGATCCTAACTTTTTCAAGATGATATACAGTTGCGAAAAAAATAATAGCACCACTTCGTCACAGGTTCTTAATATTAAAGAAATATGTGGAAAACGGGGATTTTTATACAAGAAGTGTTTTTTATTATCTTGATTAGTATTCCACCTATTTGAAAAAATTGATACGGATATCGAAAATATTGTCTACATATAATTTTTTCAGATTTTAAGAAAAATAGTCAAAAAAGGCAGAAAAAAATAATAGCACCACTTCCGTTTTCTTTAAATAAAACGTTACGATGCGCTAATATTCATGTGTATAAAGGATATATTCTATGAGATTTGACTAAAACTAACTTTTCCTGATATCCAGACATCAAATTGATTACCATTTGGCAATACAAGGACATGTGGAAAATTTTCCAAGTCGGAAAAGAAAAATATTCAAAAAAGAAACATATTGGATGGAAAACGGTCATGAAAACCGGCTCAATTTGTTAGGTCTTGGATCATCTTTATTAAAAATGGCATAAACTTTTAAAGGATAACACAGAAAAAGCGAGTCCTGGCCCATTTTTCCTTCTAAAATGTTATATCACAAAGCACAAAGAATCTTATCAGGGCCAAAACTAAACTAAAACACGTGCTTAAAATAATGGCGAATATTTTAATAGTTGGATAATGCTTTAATAAGCAAATTTATAAAACATGCACTTAAAAAAAAAATCCTATCCGAAATGCGAAACCCATTTACAAGGGCATAGGGCTCGTCAAAAAAACTTACAAATGAATGCCCGCAAACTTATGAGAATGTGTGAAGGCAAAGTTAAATTGGGTAAGAAGAAATCCTTTTTATAAGTCATGTGTCTTCTAAACACCTAAATTGACCAAAAACATGGTGCCAAAACATCCATTTATTGAGCATGGACCTAGTATTAACATAGGCTTGTTTTTCCTTCTTGAAGTAAGATCAATACGGATGAATACATCGTTCATGAATCATCCTATGATGTAAATAGTAATACGGTAGTAATTCGTAGCTTAAACTGAATACAAAATACTTCTTAAATGAATCTTTGACCAATAAAATCCGGCCAGGATCACGGTCAGGATAGCAAAGAAAGAGTTCGAAAGTACTCAGTCAGCAATATACAGTGACTTGTGTACTCGCTTGACCATAACACAACCAAAAATCTTGGAGTTTTTTTTTAAAGACAGTTTATACAGTTAATCTAAAACGTCTTAAATCATTTCCGAACAAAATTTGAAAATATATCATGACTTTTGGGCCCCAATTCCTTTATAGGTAGGGTCCTGACTTGTTTAATCGATAGTAAGTCATTATATCCAAAAATCGCACAAGATATTTACACTTTAAACTTAGATTTACTTGTTAGCTACCGCCAACTAAAGATTAAGTTACCCATTTGTCATTTTTCTACCTTTTATTCTATTTTTAGAGAAGTGGTGCTATTATTTTTTTCGTACGTTTTTCCAGTTTTGCACGGATTTTCTTAAATAAGTCCAGAAACCTTTTATAAAGCTAACATTTTTTTTCATATTCAAATTATGTTTAGTCTTACTATTTAAAACCCGTTTTGAAAAGTTAAAAAAGTTAAAAAATGTGAGTAGGGTGACTAGTTAAAATTTTTTTGGGTTAGTGGTGCTATTATTTTTTTCACAGCTGTAGGTACTCTCTTGCGGACTCACCCTATTGCATTCCAAGGCGGCGGCCGAGTGCTCCTCCCGCTGGCGAAAGCAGTGGCTGCACTTGCTCTTGTTGAAAATGTTCGGCGTGAATTTGCGACAGTCGGCGGTGCGTGCGTTTGTTGTTGTTGCTGTTGGAGTGGGTGGTGCCGATTTTGAGGGGGCGGCAGGCACCACCGTTGTTGTTATTGTGGCGGTTGACATTTCGCGGCTGCTTCAATCAACAACAAAAAAAGTGGGTTGGGAAAATTGCAGAAAAGAAGAAGAGAGTGCGGAAATGATGAAAACTTTTAAACTTTTCCCAGGAAATGCATGGCTACTTTTTTGTTTCTTGTCAAATTCAATTTGCTTTTTTTCTTTTCGACTTTTCGCAAAGGATGCGGTGTTACGTAAACCAAAACATTGGCTTGTTTTTGTTTTGGCCTTAAAAAGGCAGCCTTTTTTGTTTACTATCTCACTTTTTGCTTGGCCTTTATCAGCTTTTGATTATTTTCTTATTTTTCGGGTATTTCGGTTACACATTCGAGTGAAAGAGAGAGAAATTATTCAATTTCGCTTTGCACTTTGATTCTTGGCTTTGGCACACACACGCACACAATTACGCACAAAACACACACAGACGCCCGAAAGCCGCACACATACACCCGCGCACGCAGAGAACCAAGCTTCTTCTACTTGGCCTTCTTCGCCGCCTTTTGTTTTGTTTTTCTCTGGTCGTATTTACTCGTAAATTTCGCTGTGGAGCTCTTGTTATTTTTTTTATTTTTTAGTGGTATTTTATTCGACACCCGGTATTATTACTACTATTATTCTCGCGCGGAAGGCGCGCTCTTTAGTTTTCGAAGCGACCGTACGCGCGCGCTGCTCAAAACGGAATGAAGCGCAAGAGCGCCGCACCGTTAAGGCCAGCAAACACCAATACAGAGGCACCCAAAGTACCACAAGCGAGAGAAAATGGTGTCTCAATGGCGGCAGGTCGACGTCTAAACACTCTTTCTAAAATTATGTTTTTACCTTTCTAGCATTCGATACCTTTTCTTCAAAATATTTGTGGGATTTTTTTAAAGGAGCTTTTAGCGAAAGAATGAAAGGAACCTTGGCTGTGTACATAAAAGTATGCTATGAAAAATAAATTTTGATTTTTAATAAAGTAAAGGTAGATCAAATGCAACTTAAAGTCTGTAGCTTTGTTTTTTATCTTCCAAAAAACGTGTTCCTTTTTCTATTTCTAACTAAAATATTAGTCAAATATTTTAAGAGTTAATAAGTAAAATGTTCATAGAAAAAACCCATAAAATGTTCTTAAGGCGCGTTACAAACATCTAGATAAAGTTAAAGTAGTTTATAATTATAGGGTATATAAATATAAATTCGCTTTTCTCACTCTCTCTGCACACGCTCTCATCGGCAATGTTAACCACTTTTAATATTTAAGATTTAGGCAGTTCTTTATTTTTATATTATTTTAATTATTTAATTATGTTTTAAGATTCTATAAAAGTTATTAAATTTCATTGTATTTAATGAAATATTTGTATTGTTCATGAAATCAACCTTTTAAATTAACATTGGCTCCAAACGGTCTATGTTAACCGGTTGAATCGCTTACATTGGGGTTTATGTTTCGCTCTCTCGCTCTCTTGCCATGTTGTCGTGCACTTGTTGCTCCATGTTGCTAAGCTAAATCTAAAGCGACAAATGTTGCTAAAAACTAAAATAAAAATAAAAAATAAAAATAAAAAAGCTTCATTTATCACAATTCAAAATCACATTATTTTTTAAATTGGGAGTATATGTAATTTTTGAAATAATGCAAATATTTTATCCTACAGGATATTACATAGTCGGGCAGCTTTATTATGACATTCTTTATCGCATATATGTCTTATCAAAACCGACCGAAACCTATGAGTGTTATTTTTTTGGAAAAACGTTCAAATATGTATGATTCATTTTAAAAGGAAAATGTATAATGTATAATAAAAAAACTTAATTAAAACCAATAATGCTATATTTTTATACCCTTGCAGAGGGTATTATGATTTCAGTCAGAAGTTTGCAACGCAGTGAAGGAGACGTTTCCGACCCCATAAAGTATATATATTCTTGATCAGCATCACAAGACGAGTCGATCTAGCCATGTCCGTCTGTCCGTCTGTCCGTCTGTCCGTCTGTCCGTCTGTCCGTCTGTCCGTCCGTCTGTCCGTCTGTCCGTCTGTCTGTTTCTACGCAAACTAGTCTCTCAGTTTTTGAGCTATCGGGATGAAACTTTCCCAAAAGTCTTCTTTCTATTGCAGGTAGTATATATGTCGGAGCCGACCGGATCGGACAACTATATCTTATAGCTCCCATAGGAACAATCGGAAAAAAAAAACTTTAAAAAATTCTAGCTTCGGTGTTTTTTGAAATATTACCTTTTACTTTTGGGGATGTTATTTTTTAAATATATCTGAATTTCGAATTAATTATTTAAAAAATCGGACTACTATATCATATAGCTGCCATAGGAACGATCGGAAAATTAATGGAAAAGTAATAGGAAATAAATTCTAGCTTCTTTGGTTTTTATTGTATTATCTTCTACTCTAGGATATGACTCTTTTTAAATATTTCCGAATTTCAATTTCAATTTAATCAAAATCGGACGACTATATCATATAGCTGCCATAGGAACAATCGGAAAATTAATGAGAAATATTAGAAAATTGAACATTTTTGCGATTTGTTAATTAATAGGAATGATCTGCAAGGGTATATAAGCTTCGGCTGGCCGAAGCTAGCTTCCTTTCTTGTTATTCATCATTTATATTGGTGAAATTGAATAAATAATAAACTCGTTTTATATTTCTTATTTTGTACCTTTCCATCAAATGGTTTCCGACATGTAATTGATGAGTTTTTTGACTCTCGAGCTGGAAAAATGAATTATGCTGGTGGAAAAATCAAAGCCGGCAAAGGCAATCATTTCATCTCACAGACAATTTGTTTACTGATCTCCCCCGAGAAGGCCGAGACAACAACAACAAAAACAAGACCGTAGAGCGGTACCAATAACAATAACAATTAACTGCACGCTTCATTAACAGCCTCGGTCAACAAATTTTCAAGTGCGATGCAGAACCATTAAGGAAAGGGGGTGTGAGATATAAGGGCAGAGACAGGGGGAGAAGGGTGATCAAGATGAACCCTTTTCACGCACGAGAGAAAGAGGAAAATAAGAAGAACACAGCGGAAAAAACTCCTTCTTTTTACAAAACAGATTTTAATATTGGCCTTAGATTTAAAATTGGCGTTTTTTTCATTAGTCTCAAATAATTACTATATACTACTATAAATAATTATTAAATCAAAAATATTTATTTTAAAAGATCTAATCTCATATTTTCCCTTTACACTGTTTAAACTGTTTTTCTTTTCATTCGGAATATTTCGATATGATAATTTAAATCTGTAATTTCCTAGAATGTTTCAAAATTGTGATATAAAAATGTGATATTTTTCTTTGTGTAGCACTAAAATTGATTAATTGCGCTTGTCGAGAGTTCTGGCATTTGAAGGGGCTTGCAGTTAAAGGCCTTAGGGAAAGGGCGAAAAGGAGTTGGCCCTCGATCAAATATTTTGACTGCCACCTACCTTTTGAGGCCCAATGTAATGGGAATAGGGTTGGGGAACCCGGGACCTCGAATCGGAAAGACTAATTTCTGGCGCTGCCCTCAAAGAACAAAAAAGGAGGAGCCGTCGAGAACAAAGGTGGAATGAAGAAGCGACGTAAATCCCTTTTTGATTGCAATGTTAATTTGTTTTACTTGTGTTTTTTAATGTTTAAGTTATTCTTATAAAGAAATAAAAATTATTTAAATTATTAAAAAAAAATATTTTTTTAATATTTAAAAAAAATAATAATAATCTGCTTTTGGAACTCTGAACTGGAAACCAGAAATAAAAATACCGATCTTTGGTAACCAGTGAGCTCGTTGACCACCTTGGCTACTGGCATTTACGGTAATTAGTTGATTTTGAATTTGATTCGAATTCGAATTCGTTGGGGGCTCTTGTGCAATTGCCGAAAATGCTTCGATTGCATTTGGCAGCTGCCTTGCCACAAAACATTGCATGATAATGGCTTCTTTTTGGGTCCATTGTTGTGTGTTTTTTGTTGTTTTTTGTTGTAATACCTGCATAGCTGAAAAATGCATTACCGAATATTGATTTCGTCGCTTGGAAGGGGGACACACTTTGTGTGTGTGTTCTTTTTTTTGTTTTTTTGGTAGCCACTGCCGCTCGTTTTGCACATTTTCCACTCTCATTCAAATGTCAATCGAGTCACGAGTTGAGTTGTCCCCTTTTAACGCCCCCTCGACCCCCCGATTCAACCCAAACCCACCGCTGGCACTCAAAATGAATTCAAAGTAATGTGGAAGACAAACAATGAAGAAGAAAAACCTATTTCCCCAAATATTTGCCAAGTCCTTACCGAATGTCTGGTCTTTTTTGGGGGGTCGTTAAAATTCTGCGCCTTTCAAATTGCCCAACAGATGAAATAATCATTATGCGCAGAAAAATGACTTCATCAGGTTTTCGGTTTTATATAAGAAACATAAAAACTACTGTGAAAAATATTGCATTATTAGAATAATTAAATACGTAATTTAAAGGTCCACTAATATGCAAAATATCAGAAAAAGGTTTCCGAAAATAATTTAAATCACAGGAAAAATTACCCAAAAGATTATTGTGTTGAATCATGACTTTTGGTTTAATTTGGGAAACATGAAAATATTTTAAAAATAATTCTGTGGTAATATAATTCATTTAATCTAGGTTTTTCTAAAAATGCTTTATATAAAAAAAGCAAAACGATATTTTAATACACAGTTTTGTCTTAAAAGAGCAAGATTTTTTATCTTTTCCAATGCATTCCACACCCATAAATGGTATAGTATCCACTAAAGTCTGCAAAAAATGTTTCCCAAACATCAAATTTCATGTATCATTAACTGATCCAATGGCAATTAGTCCGGTGGACTTACCCATGGAACTGGCGAACTGGCAACAACATGCAACATGGGGCAGTGGCAACAGCAAGTGCATCCGATCCCGCCTTCGGGGTGTGTGACCAAAAGCTTGGATCACGCTTCTTGTCGGAGCACTTGGGTTAATAAGTATCTCGTCTAGCCATGCAAATCGTGAACTGAATTGAAAATCAAAGCACTGAACTTGAGGCAATCTGAGCTGTCAGCCTCTCTTCTCTGCCCCTCGCCTTTTCGTAGTTCCAGAGTTTTTTAATCTTCGCGTGGGTTGGCACTTTCCATATCGCGTCTGAGGCATTTTCCCAAAGAAAATAAGCTTTAAAAAATCGAAAAAAAAATTATCCACACTTTGCGCCCTTTTGACAGCCAGCGAGCCTCGATTCATGGGTAATTTAGAGAGAAGAGGGCGAGGTCTAAACGCCGCACATGATGTCTGGCCGGGTTGTCGGTGCTGCTACATATTAAATTCATTGCAGCTGCAACACTTTCACTTTTTTCTATGCTAATTTTCTCAAAAAACAAAAAAAAAACGAGCCAAAGAAAATTAAGAGGAAATTTTGAGAAAAAGCCTTTTTGCATAAACGACTTGGAAACTTGTCCTTTTGTAGGGATAGTGTCCATCAAAAAGTCAAGGAACTGAGTAAATACTTTAAATGGGAAATTTATTAACTAGATATCATAAAAGATTTAGTATAAATAATTTTTTTATTTTTTTATGTAAATAATCCAATTTTTATTCCCCTTTTTCGGAAATAACCCCAAGAAAGCCTATTTGGTATATTTGGTTGAAGTTTTTGAGGTCCCAGCATTAAGAATTCTATAAATATTCTATGA